AACAATAAAAATGAAGTATAGGATTTAAGATTCCATCTAATTACTTCCTATCTAGCTATTTTATATTATCTACTGTATCTTTTAAGCCAATTTATATGCTGTAGAGATGGGGTCATGTAGAAATGTTTTTTAAATGTTTAATGTAAGACTCCCTTTAATAACTTATTTTTCACAACAATTTTTAACTGACAGACTTTAAGAGCCATTTTAAAGATAAGAACTTATTTTTAAGATACATTTTAACAACTTAACAAAACCCCACGTTGAATTCTACCCCCTTATCCTGGCTCATCACCATTTCTGGGGGAGGGCCTTGGTTCATCCACCTAGCAAGTGACCCTCGCTTGCCATAGATATGTCTGTTTGCATTGGTATTGCTGATACCAAGGTAGAGATATTGAGTGTGTGGGTGGCAGAGACCTTCCTCCAGCTCTCCGGACAGACAGGGTCAGGTTCCTACTCCTTGGATGTGGCTCAATCAAGTCTGCCCACCTCACGTAAACCTGTGTCCTTCTGATCTGCTACTAGTCTTTTGTTGAAACTCAGACACTCAGCTCTTCTGCTGGTTCCCCGACCAAACCCACCTAAAAGGCAGCAGTCGGTCTAGCCACTCATTCCCAGTTGTGGCAGACATGACTGGTGGTCTACCCTAGGTCTTCTATATCCCCTTTCTTACTATCAGAAACCTGATTTTTTTTTATCAAGGAGGCAATGTGTGCAGCTGAAATATTCTATTTCCCAGCTTCCCTTGAAGAAAGAGACAGTCATGTGACAGTGCCCAGCCCACGTCCAAATATGACCCTGGAGTGGACATCTTTTCTGGAAAAGACAATGCCTCTCTAGAAAAAAAAGCCTTTTCCCCTTCTTCCTGCTGGAATTGTGCCTTCTCATTTCATCCTGTTCATCCATGTTCAGGAGGTGGAGCGGGCAATATCCTCATTTTACAGAGGATACTGAAGTTCAGAGAAGCAAACTGACTTTCTCAGAGTTGTGGGGCTCAGAGTGCTCCCATGTAAAAACTGAAGAAGCAGCCAATTCATTCCATTACTAACTTGTCTTGTTTCCCTTTTTGACCAGGCTGCCAGGAAGCTCAGCACCTAATGAGGAAGCTCAATCATGGCCAGTATGAACTCTTAAGGTGTGCTGTCCACCCCTTCCTTTCCCTTGTCCTCACTGCCTGTCTTGAAACTTGAATGAGCGATCCTTTTCTTTTTTTGGTGATCCCTTTCTTGTAAGTCATCTTGAATCCTCTTTAGGAAAGACAGTGGGTGGGAGACAGAGTTATCTTTCACAGCCTCCCCAGATCTCTCCACTCTGCTCTGGGCAGAGGGGCACATCATGAAGACAACAGCCCATGAAGATGGGCTCTCTGGTTTCTGATTGGGTTTGGCAAACAGGGCACACCAGTAGGAAGGAGTGAGGTCACAGTCTTCCCTTATCAGGCGTCTCCTCGGTAGGGCTGTTCCCAAGAAGCACTCCTTCCCTTCTTGCTTGAGGGTAGAGGAGGTGAGGTCTCCATAATTAGCCCAGGGCACCACCCTCTCCCTTCCTGGTTCATATACTGTCCACACCTTTATAAACTGTCCCTTTATCAAATTCTCAAGTAACCTAAACTGAGTGCTCCCTATCAGGGCCATCTTATGGGCTGAGTGTCTGTCGCCGCCACCACCACCACCACCACCACCACCACCGCAAAATTCATTTGTTGAAGTTCTAGCCCCTAGTGTGATGGTATTTGGACATGGGGTCTTTGGGAGTAACTAGGTTTACATGAGGTCACAGGGTGGGGCCCTCATGATGGGATTAGTGCCCTTAAAAGAAGAGGGCTCCTTGGAAGGAAAGCCATGACAAACCTAGTCCACATGTGCATGCGAGCAAACTCTCTTCAGTTGTGTCTGACTCTTTGCTACCCTATGGACTGTGGCCCATCAGGCTCCTCTATCTATGGGATTCTCCAGGCAAGAATACTGGAGTTGCCATGCCCTCCTCCAGGGGATCCTCCCGACCTGGGGTTGAACCCAGGTATCCTGAGGATTCTGTATTGCAAGTGGATTCTTTACCACTGAGCCACCGGGGAAGCCCTATGACAAACCTAGACAGAGTATTAAAAAGCAGAGACATCACTTTGCCAACAAAGGTCTGTATAGTCAAAGCTATGGTTTTTTCAGTCATCATGTACGAATGTGAGAGCTGGACCATAAAGAAAGCTAAGCACCAAAGAACTGATGCTTGCAAACTGGGGTTCTGGAGAAGACTCTTGAGAATCCCTTGGACCGCAAAATCAAACCAGTCAGTCCTAAAGGAAATCAAACCTGAATATTCATTGGAAGGATTGATGCTAAGGCTGAAGCTCCAATACTTTGGCCACCTGATGCGAAGAGCCAACTCACTGGAAAAAACCCTGATGCTAGGAAAGATTAAGGACAGGAGGAGAAGGGGGCAACAGAGGATGAGATGGTGGGATGGCATCACTGACTCAATGGACATGAGTTTGAGCAAACTCCAGGAGATAGTGAAGGACAGGGAAGCCTGGTGTGCTGCAGTCCTCAGCGTCAGACATGACTTAGCAGCTGAACAACAACAAAGAAGAGGAAGGGAAATCTCTCTCTCTATGAGTGGGCATCAAGGAAAGGTCACGTGAGCACACAGCAAGAAGGTAGTGTCTGCAAGCCAAGAAGTGGACTCTCACCAGACACGGAATCTATTGGCACCTTGATCTTGGACTTGCAGCCTCCAGAACTCTGAGAAATAAATGTCCATGGTTTAAGCCATGAGTCTATGGTATTTTGTTACAGCAACCCAGCAGACCAGACAGGACTTGAACACAGAGTATGAGAAAGTGCACTGTTAAAAGACCTTCTTGTGGGAATTCCCTGATGGTCCAGTGATTAGGACTCCTCACTTTCACTCCCAAGGTTCAATCCCTGGTTGTGGAACTAAGATCGCACAAGTTGCACGGTGTAGCAAAAACAAAAAAAACCTCTTGGGGTCCCTAAAAATTCTGTTCTCCCTCCCATTTCATCTCAGTGGATTTCGGCTCAGTGTCTTATCACCTCTTGCCTGCACCTTACAGCCTCGTCCTAATTGGGTTCCCTGCTTTGTCCCCAATACCTCTATGCCACTGCTCCTCCACCAACAAAGCTACGGCCTCCTTCTGCTGCCCAAGCTCCAGGCAGGTATAGACATGAAACAGATGTGGTGAGAGCAGGCCCCCAGGGGCCACATGTGTATTATACTCAGCCCTCTCCAGGAAGGAGAATTTGGGGACATGAGTGTTAGGACCGTCACATAAGCTGTCAGTTACACTGTGATGGATAAAATGAGAGCAGAGGAATCAGCATGGGCCAAGATCAGGAGTCAAGAAACAGCTTGGGAGCTGCTGGCTGCAGGAACAGGGGAGGGGAGGCGGGCAGAGGCTGGAGCAGGCCCACTACAGACCAGAAAGGAGTCTGGACTCCAAGCCATAGGCCACATGGAGTGTTCTGCCCAGGAGAGATCGGCCAGTGATCATTAAGGTTGCATGGGGCGGGGGAAGAGCAGGCTGGAGACTGAGAGGCCAGCAGGTAGGTTCCCCACTGAAGAGATAAATATGGCCTGGTGTCCTCCAAAGTGGGGACTCACCTCTAGTCAGCTCTTCACCCCTCCTGAGGTTTTGAGTTGGATGTATTAATTAAATCAACTCCAGCTCCTGGACACTCCTTTCTCTCTGCTTTGTCCCCCTTCTGCCTTTTCTACACACAAGGTGGCCACAGACAACTCAGGATCCAGCCATCAAGGAGGTGCCAGGCTAAGGGAGCTCTGCCCCCCTCATTCCTCTCCCTCAAACAACCTCCATCAGATCAGTGTGTTAGTTTTATTTTCTTTGCTTTGGTCTATACAAAAAAAAAAAACCAATAACCAAAAACATAAAGCGATCATAATAAAACTCTGCTGGGACCTCCCCCAGCCCCCAACACCCGTGTGCAGGAGGTGGTGGTGGGGAGTTCGAAATAGGAAGAGGAAGAGAAAGCCCCTCACCGCACACCAGAGGGGTCAGCCAAGAGCACTTCTCAGGGGGTCAGCTAGGGTAGTTGTGTGGGCAGGAGGGGGGTTCCAGGGCGCTGTCCCCAGGCTCCCCTAAGAGGGGCCAAAGCCAACTAAGCATCCTGGGGAGGGAGCAGGCAGTGTCCTGGGGTGGGGACAATCTCTCTGTGTCCACCCCATCTTCCCAAAGGATCCCTGAACTTTCCAAGACAAGCTTTGGATTCTGGGCCTTTTGGCCTTGAATGGGGGCCTGGAGATCCACGGGGCTCAGCACAGTTGGAGTTCAAGGACCAAATCAGAAGCCAGAGCCTGTGGGGTCCAGGCTCCTGGAGATGGGCAGCCCAGGAGGAGGGGAGAACTTCGGGGGGTGGGGACAAGGTGGGTGCCTCGAGTCTAAAGTTTTAGTGCCAGGGCCTCAGGGGTGGGAAGGGGGTGTCAGGCCCTGGACCCACGGCCCAGAATAGAAAAGCAGGAGCAGATCACCATCCCAAGAAAGACCCCACAGAGGACCTCTGGAGGCACGGGGCTCGGCAGGAAGTTGCAGCCCTGCTGCCCGGGTTCAGGCACTTGGCTATCTGGCCCCATCACCTGCACGGAGAACCTCTCAGATGAGGAACTGCACCTGGGGGGGGGCGGGGGGGAATGCAGACACAGAGGGGTTAGGCCAGGCCCGTGGCCCCTGGGAGCACGTGCCACTCCTGCATCATCCGCCCTCCACCCACAGAAGGGGCAGGAACTCGCTGCCCAGAGCAAAGAATATAGAACAAGGTAGACGAGGCATGCCTTCCCCGGGGCAGCTCAGCACCCAGAGGCCCCACGCTTGCTCCCCGCTGAAGGAGCCAGGGTTTCAGGGAAAGCCTGAGAGGCCTCCCATGAGAAGGAGGTCCTAAGGGAAGGGAAGCCCAAGTCTCAGCAGCCCACAGGGGGAGAGAGAGCTGCAAAGCAGGGGAGGGGGTGCCATACTAGGGTCCGGGCAGCTAGGCCAGCATGTGGTCTGCATTTGGGTAGGGGGGCCTGAGGCCGTCGCTGTAGGTGTCGATGGGATAGTCCCCGTCCATGTCCATGTGCATCTCCAGTGGGTCCATGGGCACATCGCTCGAGTACATGGGGCGGTAGGTGGCGTCCATGTCTGGTGAGGAGAAGGGTCTCAGGCTACCCTGCGGGGGTCTGGACAGCCCTCAGCCACACCTTCCATCCCTTCCTGCCCCAGTGGGCCGGACCCCCCCCACCCCCACTTAGGGACCTAGACTTCAAGTCAGGGACCTGGCCAGGAGTTGGTGTGAACACTACAGTGGCTGTCACTGGTCCTTTGGCCCTGGGGACACAAAGCTGCTCCCTCGCTCACACACACCCACACAGGACGCCCCTGTGCCCCAGCTCTCCAGGGTCCTGAGCAACTCTGCACCCACTTACCATCAGCATAAGGTTCATTCATGGGGATCATGCTCTGGGCCTGAGGATGGAGACAGAGAGCAACATTAGGGGAGAGGGGAAGGGAGGAAACATAGGCTCTGGACTGGGGCGGGGGAGGCGGGGAGAGAAGAGCAGCAAGAGATGTTTGCCTAGAGGGGCCAAGGAGGTCTTCCCTGGTGGCCCATTGGCTAAGACTCCGAGCATTTCCAACACAAGGGGCACAGGTTTGATCCCTGGTCGGGGAACTAAGACCCCACATGCTGCACAACCAAAAAACAACAGATAAAGGGGGGCCAAGGGAAAAGCAAAGACCCCTTGGAGGCACCTACAGAATCAGAGCAGCCCTGGGGAGAGGAGTGGCGGGGAGAGGACTAGAAAATGGGCATCAGGAGCAGCCGCACGTAGGATCGGGGCAGCTATCAGCCTATAACAGCACCTTTGTGCAAGTTAGGGAAAGGCACTCTTGCCTCAACACTTTATATCAGTTTGAACAAAAAATTGCCATTTTGTAGGTCAAAACCAGTAGATGGGCCAATCTATTACTTTCATCTGCTGGGAACTGTCATAAATGATTCAATTATAAAATTAAAATCTATTGGGAATTCCCTGGCAATTCAGTAGTTAAGACTCCGCATTTCCACTGCAAGGGGCCCAGGTTCAAACCCTGGTCGGGGAACTAAGATCCCCCATTCGGCATATCAAAAAAAAAAGAAAGAAAATTAAAATCTATGAAGCTGACAAGATGGTAACCGCCCTCCCCACCACACACACCCCAGACAAAGTGCTATCTTTTTGCAGTACTCAACTTGCACAGCCAGACACTGCGACCCAACCCAGGGTACTCACAGCCTCCCAGGCGGCAGGGTCGTGCTTGAAGAGGGAGTTAGTGAGCTCCACAGACACGCGTTTGCGGTAATCTGGGTTCTTGTCCTCGGAGATGCGGAACAAGACGGCAGCAGCGTAGGTGGCTGAGCACGGAAAAGGCCAGGCCAGGCAGGTCAGGTGCTTGCCTCCGCCCGCCCGCAGCCTCCCTCCTCACCCTCCTCGCCCCCTTGCGCCAAGCCCAGCCCCTCACCGGTGCCCTCATTGCGCGAGTGCAACAGCTCCATCAGTGGGGCCGACGCGCCCTCCGCATCAATGGCGTCCGCCGCCTCCTTGTCCTGGGCCAGCTCGCAGAGCACCCCGGCGGCCACGCGCTGGATGTTCTCCACCGAGGAGTATAGGAGCTGGGGAGCGGGGCGCGGGATGGGCGTGAGGCGAGCCAGCAGCGCACCTCCCGCCCTGCCAATCTCCGCCTCCCTTTTCTGGATATAACTCAAGCCCATAGCAAAAAGTGTGAAAAGTCTAAGTAAAATCTAAAGAAAGGAAACGCAGGGAATTCCCTGGTGATCCAGTGCTTAAGACTCTGTGTGTTTAATACTGGGGCGTGGGTGCAATCCCTCCTTGAGGAACTAAGATTCTATAAGCCTTGAGGTAAGGCCCAAAGATATTTTTTTATTTCTTTTAATTTAAAAAAACCGCCACAACCCCCTACCCAGACACAGCTTCTTTCCATTAGATTTTCATCATAGTCATAAACACATATTTGATTTGTTTTTTTAAGACTTTTTTTGATGTGGACCATTTTTTTAAAATTTTTTACAATATTATTTCTGTTTTATATTTTTGTTTTTTTACCTCCAGGCATGTGGAATCTTAGCTCCCCAACCAAGGATCAAACCTGTACCCCTTGCACTGGAAGGCGAAGTCTTGACCAATGGGCCACCAAGGAAGTCCCTGATTCCTGTTTTTTGATCAGACATTGTAGCCTAAAGCATTTTCCCATATTATTCAGTAATTTTTCCTTAAAAATCTGTGAATTCAGGGACTTCCCCAGCGGCCGGTGGCTAAGACTCTGCTATCCCGCTGCAGGGGGCCTGGGTTTGATCCCTGTTCAGGGAACTAACTTCAAGCCTGTGAAGAAACATGGCCAAAAAACAAACAAAAAAAATCTGTGAGTTCATATTGGTACTCAAGAGAGAAGGAGAATGCTACAAAGCAAAACAACAGTGGAAATTTAAAAACCTCATCCATCACAAGTGGAAGTAGCTACCAGCACTGATTCCTTACTCTGAACATTAATAATTAAAGGAAAAAATTTCAAAAACTGAAAATTCTTACACACCATTGTCTATGTCCGCATGATATAATGGACCATTCTTTTTCTAACCATTCTCTTATCACTGGACAGTCAGTTAATTTTCAGTTATTGTTAGTAACAGTGCAATTGTCAGCCGCACATATACATCTATGCCACATTTTAAATTACATTATGTTATTTCATAAAGAGAGAGTCCCAGACCTGTACTACTCGATCAAAGAATACAAATATTTTCAAGGCTGTCTATACACATCACAAAGTTGCTTCCTGGAGAGGTTTTACCACCCACCAGCAGGGTATAAGACTGCCCATTTTATTGCATCTTCTCCAGCACAAAGCACTCCCATTTTTTTTTTTTTCTTTGCCAATTTGATAGTGGAAAATGGGCTCCCCCTGTGGGGTAAGCTTCATTTCTTTTAAACCCCTGGGGTTGTTTGAGCACTCTTTGTTTATGAACCACCTGGGCATTAATTACATGTGCCTCTTTGTAGATAACTACCAAGGTTTAGTACTAATGAGCCTTTTATATGAAAGATATTAAACTCTTGTCTGTTGCGAGGTTTGCAAATATTTTCCCAGTTTGCTGTTTACTTTTCAATGATTTTAGGCTATTTCTGACATTAAAACCTTAATGTTGTTTCTGACATTAAGAATACTTCCTGTTTAATATTACTCAGCCATTAAAAAGAACTCATTTGAATCAGTTCTAATGAGATGGATGAAACTGGAGCCCATTATACAGAGCGAAGTAAGCCGGAAAGATAAAGACCATTACAGTATACTAACACATATATATGGAATTTAGAAAGATGGTAATGATAACCCTATATGCAAAACAGAAAAAGAGACTCAGATGTATAGAACAGACTTGTGGACTCTGTGGGAGAAGGCGAGGGTGGGATGTTTCAAGAGAACAGCATTGAAACATGTATATTATCTAGGGTGAAACAGATCACCAGCCCAGGTTGGATGCATGAGACAAGTGCTCGGGCCTGGTGCACTGGGAAGACCCAGAGGGATGGGGTGGAGAGGGAGGTGGGAGGGGGGACCGGGATGGGGAATACATGTAAATCCATGGCTGATTCATTTCAATGTATGACAAGAACCACTGCAATGTTGTGGAGTGATTGGCCTCCAACTAGTGAAAATAAATGGAAAAAAAAATAATAAATTTGTGAATACAATGTGAAAAAAAAAAAATACTTCCTGTTTTTGTTTGTGGACTCTTCCTTTACCTCTGAGCTTGGAAAGCCTTTCCCATGCTGGAGTTCGCTAAGTGACCATGTCTGGTGTGGCCACTTTTCTCCAAATGCTTCCAAAGACCTCGGGATGCTTGGCCCAGACTGCCTCAGACATTCCCATTTCAGTAGTGGGGAAAAGCAAGGGTTGGGGGAAACCTCTCCTGCCCATCTGCCCCAGACTCACCTGCACAAACAGGGGGATGGTGTTGAGTCGGAAGATCTCCATACGGTTCATGGGATCCCGGGCGAGGATATGCAGGGCTCCAGTGCAGCCTTCCACAATCTCCTCCATCCTCACGCCATCCTGCACGAAAGGAGCCACTGGGGTATAGCAACAGTGAGCCTAGGGAGTGGTCACCCCCCTTCAGGACACTGGCAAACCTCACTGGTCCTTGGAGTTGGCCTCAATCACAACTTGCCCCCCTAGTCACGCGCTCATGTGCACACACGTTCACACAGAGGGCAGCCAGACTCTCAGGGCGGGCAGTCACAGGCCCCAGCAGCTCACTTACCGTGTAGGGCTGCTGTGTGCCAGCAGCCACATGGCGCTGGGCATCCTGGTGGGCCTTGACCAGCAGTTGGACAAGGCGGGGAATGACTGCTGCCTCCTGCAGTGGGGCGTGGTTGGCTGGGCACAGGGCCAGATTCCTGATCAGGCCGATGGTTGCCTGGCAAGAAAAAGGGCGCCCGTCAAGGGCATTTCGTGGACATCTGGAGGATCCCACTTCTCCAGCATTATGTCCTCCTTCCCCCTCGTCTCTTCTCCCCGAGGCCAGCCATGGATGTGCTGGAAGGGCTTCAGAGAATGACGCTTCTCCCAGCCCCTTATTCCATATGATCTCATTGGTCCTCATGTCAGACTCTCATAGCCCCTGCTAAAATGATACTCCATCCCAGAATATTCCACCAGCCCCCAGGCCTTGACCCGCACCCCTGTTCCCTCTCTCCTAACGCCCCCTCATGGACAACATAGTCTTGCTTTTCTGATGGTTCCCAAACTCTGATTATCAGGGAGTCCTCGCTAGGGTTGACCCCAAAGCCTCTTGTGTAGGTGACACTCACAGTGTGACCCAGCTGAAGCAGTGGGATCGGGAACGAGGTCTCTGCCCCAGGCTCCGAGCCGGCCAGCTGGCTCCGGTGCCCTCTGACAAGACCCCGTCTACAGTCGCTCCCTCACTCTCTGGCACCAGGTGTCACACGCCTGCAGCTCTGCCCTGGCTCACCCTCACCTCCCCTGTCTGTGACAGGGAACTGACGCATCTGTGCTCTACCCAGGCAGCCTCCAGGTTCCCTGGCTCCCCGTGGCAGACACCAAGTGCCCCCAGAACCCTCTCTACCCTTCCCGCCTACCCATCTCTTTAGCATCCTTCCTGAGTTTGAGCAGGACGCATGACACAGTACGGACACCCTTCCATCACACGTGGCCAAAGGAACAAGTTCCTGAGTATGGGCTGAAGTGGTCTCACTTTCTGGTCGCTGCCAGCCCTTCAGGGCTTCTCCACTTCTCCGGGGCTAGAATGCATGGATGAGGGTGACCTCACCCATCCATTCATATTCATACGACTTTGAGCGTCCAGACCCTCTGTAATGACTGTGCCCCATGGACCACCAAAGTCACCTGGGGTCTCGTTAGAAATGCAGGGTCTCAGGCCCACCCCGGGCCTACCAAATCTCAGCCTGCAGTTGAATGAGACCGCCCAGGGTGGTCTCGTGCGCCTTCAACCCTGAAGCTCTATTCTAGCTGATGGCCAAGCTACATGACAGAAGGATTCTGGGTCTCGGGAGCAGAGCCACCATGGACTGTGGAGGCTCTAATCCTGTCTTCAGAGCTCTTCCCCTTGCCTGGCCCCACCGGGCAGCGGGCGGTACCTTGACCAGTGGCCACTGGTTGGGCTGGTTGAGCAGCTTGACGATGGCCGGGATGCCATAGTTGAGACGCACGGAGTTCTGGGCCATCTCGGCCTCAGGGTGGCGGCTGGTGAGGTGGCGCAGGGCGCAGACGGCGGGCTCCGTGATGTCATCCTTGTCACCCGCGCGCAGGATGGCATGGATGAGCGCCTCCACCCCGCTGTTCTGCGTCACCAGCGTCTTGTTCTTGCTGTTGTTGCACGTCAGGTTGGACAGAGTGCCTGTGGCACAGGTGAGGACGTTGACGTCGTCCACGCTCAGCTGGTTCACCAGAATCTTCAGCACGCTCTCCAGGCCTTCCTGGGGTTGGGGAAAGCAGTGGAGAGTGAGGGAGACCCCCAACTGCAGGAGCTTCCCAAGTATGCCCAGGGGAGCGAGATGGCCTAAGTGGGGGTCTCTAGCCCACTCAGTATAGACTCCCTGGGCCCTGAAAATCTTCAACCCCATGATCCTGCCAACACCCTATGAGACGGCAGTTCTACCCGTGGAGGATCTGGGGCTGAGAGAGGTTGAGGGCCTGGCTCACAGACCCACAGCTCATGGGCCAGATCTGAACCCAAGCTTATCTCTAAGCCCCATTCTCTCTTCTCCAGCCCCTCCGGCTCCTCCTCTGGGTCCTCAGACCCAACAGAACTCGACTCATCTGAGGGAGGCCCCTAGGCCAGAATGAAGTTGTTGAGCCACGCCTCAGTGGCTCACTTGAACCACTTTTATATGTTTCTTCCCTTTCTGGGCCTTTGCTGCTGCACACTCAGTGGTCCCCAAGCCAAATCTGCCTTCAGGAAACATCCCTAAGCCAGAAACCTCATTTCTCCCAGGGACAGCCACGTGGGCCTTGTGGTAGAATATAAAAACCCCAGGCGCTGGGGACAGACAGTCCTGAGTTCAAATCCCAATTCTGCAGTCTACTAGCCATGACCAAGGCCATTTCTTAACTCCCTGAGCCTGTTTCTTCTTTACTTGTTTTTTCCTTCTTTGAAAAAAATTTTTTTTCCTTTTTATTTTTTCTTGGAGTACAGTTGAAAACTTCGTTGTTAAAATTTTTATCTTATATTGGATATAGTTGAAAACTTTTTAATACTTTTATTTTACACTGGAGTATAGTTGGTCAACAATGTTGCATTTCAGGTGTACAGCAAAGTGATTCAGTTATATGTACATGTATCTATTATTTTTCAAATTCTTTTCCCATTTAGGTCATTACAGAGTACTGAGCAGAGTTCCCTGTGCTATACAAGAGATCCTTGTTGGTTATCTATTTTAAATGTATCAGTGTGCACATGTCAATCCCAAACTCCCAATCTATCCCTGCCCCCCAATTTTCACCCTAGCAACTAGAAGTTCATTCTCTAAGTTTGTGAGTCTGTTTCTGTGTTACAAATCAGTTCGTTTGTATCATTTTTTTGAGTCCTTGTGTAAGTGATGTCATAAGATATTTGTCTTTCTCTGTCCAACTTACGTCACTTAGTATAATAATCTCTAGGTCCATCCGTGTTGCTGCAAATGGCATTATTTCATTCTTTTTAATGACTGAGTAATATTCCATTGTATGTATGTACCACTTGAGCCTTTGTTTCTTCAGCTAACAACGAGCCCCAGGTACTGAAAGGGGTAAAGAAGCCAGTGTCCCAGGTGCTTGGCTGAGCCTAGAACATGGCGGGTGCTCAATAAGCAGCCTGTTGATGTAATTCTTAGCAATGACAGGTCTAAAGGAGGAACCAGAAAACTTGTCCCAAAACTGCATTTTTCCTTAAGTTGTTTTTAGCCATCAGGGACCCCAAGCCATCGCCTGCACCCTACTGCTCCCTGCCCAAGGTCTAGGGTAGAACTGTTCCTCTGGTACCACCTGAACCCCAGCTTGGAAACATCAGCCCCTTTCCTCTAGTCCTCTTCTGAAACCCCTAAGAGGGATTAGAGCCTTTAGCTAAAGGGATGAAGGGCACTTCCAGCCTCAGCCACAGTGGAAAAGATTTAGGGGCCACAGGCTCCTAAGGTCAGACTCCCAGACAGGAAGCAGGATGCAGTAAGATGGCTGAGGAGGTGGACACAGGTCTGATCACCTCCCTCACCTGCTTGGTGGCCACATCCGAGAGGTTGCGCAGGGTCCACAGGCAGTTCTGCACGAGGCGGGGGCTGTTGCTCGTCAGGTGCTTGCCCAGGGCCTGCATCCCACCTGGGGTAGGAGATGAACACATGTCAGTCACAGGGGAGCACAGCTGACTGAGCCTGGTGGCTGGTCAGGGGCCCCGCTTGCTCCCACCTGGCTACATGGGCCATCCTCACGGGCTGCAGTACTCACCAGCCTCCACAATGGCAGGCTTATTGCTAGGACACACGGACAGCACTTTGAGCACACGGCTGGTGGTCCAGAGCAGCTTCTCATAACTGTAGTTGCGCATGATCTGGACGAGGGCCTGGGGTCCTCCATTGGCCAGGATGATGAGCTGTGGGGAGGGGGGAAATGAGTGTGAGACAGATGGGGTCTATGGCAAGGAACAAGGAAGGAAGGCGGGTAGGTAACAGAGCTGTTATTACTGAGCTTCACCCAAAGCCTGAGCTTTTGTGACTATTAAATAAGCCAAATATTGAAAAAAATGATAATACACAATGTTGGCAAGGATGAGGTGAGACTACTATCATACATTGCTGCTGATGGCATTGTAAATAAGGCAATCCTTTTGGAAAGTACCTGGCAATTTTTGTAAAAGCTTAGAAATATTAAAAATCCTTAGCCCTACTGATGAAAATAATTCTTACTCTCTGGGAAAAACTGTGTCTTGAATATGTTCATTACAGCATTGTTCATAAAAATGGAAGATCAGGAGCAACCCAGATGCCCTTCCTCAGGATAAAGTCTGAAGCCTCCATTTAATGAAATGTTATTTGCTCTTATAAAGGGTGGCTTTGAGGACAGTGTAGCAAAAAATAATAATAATAATTTTAATATCATGCATTAATAGAAACATGCAAAGTTGTAAATTTCTATGACTACAACTGTATAAAAAATGCCCACAGGAAAGCACTGGAGGAAGCACATGGTTGTGTGACGATAATTTTTTCTTTCCCTTATCCTCAAAATATTCAGTAGTATGATGAAACATTACATCAGAATTTACATATATATTTAACCTAAAAAAAGTAAGGAAGCAGTGACGCGAAGCTGCAGTTGGATGGAGGGGGATGGCGTGGGGGATGCAGGTCTTGGTTGGGGGCGGGAAGCGCTGGGGGAAGCGCTGGAGGCAGCACATGGTTGTGTGAGGACAATAGGGCTCAGCCCACCTTGCTCTCCTGGTTGCCATAGGCCAGGAGCTGCAGGCAGTCGGTGGTGATGGCCAGGAACTTGGGGTTGTTCTTGTTGAGCAGGGGCACCATCTTCTGCAGCCCGTCTGCCAGGCGCACTGCCATCTTGGCACCCTCCTGGTAGAGCAGCAGGTTGTGCAGCGTGGTGATGGCATAGAACAAGACCGACTCCACAGGGGAGCTGGGATGAGGGTAGAGGGTTCACATGAGTCAGGTTCCAGGTAAATGTGGGTCACCTCCTGCAGGAAAGCTCTGCAGGAAATAGCTCCTTACTAAAAATCACTGTCCCTTGAGTCCAGTCTCATTTCTATGAACAGAGCACGCAGCACCTCTCCTCTCCACTGAGACCATGACTCCTCTTGCTCTGGACTCCCAGCTTGGTGCTAAGCATACCTGTCCCTACTGAGTCCATCCCCTGGACACCTGTCTCTGAGTAACTGCCATGTGGAAGGCATCATGCTGGAAAGGCCTGCGAGGGACTCAGAGAGGAGTAAGATCAGTATCTCTGCCCTTAAGGAACTCGCAGCTGGGTATGGGGATCAGGAAAAAGGCCATTCAGCATTGCAAGGCAGGGAAAGATAAAGGTGGCAAGGGATTTTGCACAGGCTGTTCCCTCTGCCTGGAATACTTTTCCCGTCATCTACATCAGTCAAAGTCCACTCCTCTATCAACCCCTCGCCATTAGAATGAACAGCTTCTTGGAGCTCCACTGACCAATCTTGGGCACACCTTTGCCCTCATCCACACTGTATCCTGATAAATAACCTGAGAGTTACCTGCCTGTCTCCCCTGCTGCTGAGCATGAGGACTGGGTGTGATTCCGCACCTGGCACAGTAGGTGCTCAATAAATGTATGGAAGACCAGGGAAGTTCAAGGGAGGGGACGCCCCCGGCTCCTGCAGGGAGTAGGGGTGGGTACCTGAGCATGCGGACCAGGGCAGGGATGCCGCCCGACTTGAAGATGGCAAGCAGCCCCTCGCGGTGGTGGGAGAGGTTGTGCAGGATGCTGGTGGTGCAGCGGGCCGTGTCCAGGTCGCTGGTGTTCTGCATGGTGCGCACGACAGCCGCCACCAGCTGGGGCGAGCCCATCAGCGCCCGCCGAGATGCCTCCTTCTTCGACAGCTGGTTCACGATCATGGCTGCCTTGGTCACCACCACCTTGGGGTGTAAGAAGGAGGAGGGGAGGGAGTGAGCAGGCGGGGCCGAGATGGCTGCCATTGTGAGAAGGAAGGGCCAGGAGACACCTCCACAAAGCTCAGACAGACCTGGGTCAGACTTCCCACTGATGAGGCTCTGGGTCAATGATCTCTCTCCACCCCAGGTAGGGCCCTCTCCTGCAGACCCCTGACTCTCCCCGTCCCTGCCCTGCCTCCAGCCTGGCCAGGCCCTCACAGACCGGGTCCTCATCGTTGAGCAGCTTGGTGAGCTCAGGCAGGGCCCGGGTGGCCAGCTCAGCATCATCCTGGTAGTTGATGAGATGCACGATGGCCGACTTGAGGAGCTGGGATGGCTCGGCCAGCCGCTGCAGGTTGGTGGTCTGCCCCTCCACCTGGGTGGCCAGGAGCAGCGAGCTGTCCTCTCCTGTCACACCGGGACACATGGCCTCCCGCACCCGCTTGGCTCTGGCGGTCGTGGACATCTGGTACTCCAGGTCACCTGGCGGCCAGCAGACAGGGACTGAGTTGCAGGGAGCGGGCAGGGGGACACTGGGGAGCAGGCGTCCCATCTGGGCTCTCTGGGCTGACTTCCAGGCCACCATTCGCAGTTCTGCCTTTAACCAGTGACCTTGAGGAGGTCATCATCACCTCAGGCCATCAGCGGTAAAATGGGGCACCTCCTGGTCTGTTCATCACAGGGAATTCTTATGAGAATTAAATGACATAATAGGTGTGAGTTGTTCTTAAAAGAAAGGATGCATGTGCCTGACACATATCAGTAAAAACAAGGTCAGAGTTTATTATTATCAAAAGGAATAGTTAACATTTTTTGAGTACAGGCATACCTAAAAGATATTATGCTTATATAATATATAAAAGATATGTAGTTCCCTACCACTACAATGAAGAAGTGAATATTGCAGTAAAGTGAGTTATGAATTTTTTGGTTGCCCAGTGCATAGAAGTTATGTTTACACTATTTGTAGTATCTTGTGTGTGATAGCATTGTGTCTAAAAAATGTACATATCTTAATTTTAAAATATTTTATTGCCAAAAAATGATGACCATCATCTGAGTCTTCAACAAGTCATAGCAGCATTATCAAAGATCACTGATCACAGATTACCATCACAAAGAGGATCATCATGCAAACGTTTGAAATATTGCAATAATTACTAAAATGTGATACAGAGACATGAAGTAAGCAAATGCTGCTGGGAAAATGGCACATATAGACTTGATCCATGCAGTTACCACAAATCTTCAATTTGTAAAAAAAAAAAATGCGTGCCTATATGTTTTTAAAGGTCTTTTGGCCACGCTGCACAGCATGTGGGATCTCAGTTCCCCACTCAGGGATCGAACCCGTGTCGCCTGCATTAGCAGCACAGAGCCTTAACCACTGGACCACCATGGAAGTCCTATGCCTATACTTGTTATGTGCCCAGCAGTGAATTAAGTGCTGTCCTTATATTTTTCTCATTTAATCTTACAACCCTACAAGGCAAGGACTATTATTATCTCCACTTTACAGATGGGAAAACTGAGACACAGAGAGGTTATAAGAACCCAACTTGGGACTTGAACCCAGACAGCCCGACTCCAGAACCCAACCCTGACTCTATGCCCCTCCCTTAACAATCAGGTAGGGGTAGGATGATACAACCTCTGTCTCTTTCCAACCCTGAAATCTCATGATTCTAATTACACCCTCAACCTCCCCAAAGGAGGCAATTCTCCCATTATATGGTCAGCTAAATAGAGGCCCAGGGGCTTCCCTGGTGGCTCAGCGGTAAAGAATCTGCCTGTAACACAGGAAACGCAGGAGATACAGGAAGATCCCCTGGAGAAGGGCATGGCAACCCACTCCAGTATTCTTGCCTGAAGAATCCCGTGGCCAGAAGAGGCTGTAAGGCTACAGCCTATGGGGGTCATAAAGAGTCGGACATGACTGAAGTGACTCAGCAGCAGCAGCAGCAAATAGAGGCCCAGAGGGTCACCCACTGGAATACAACGGATGACAGGGCAAGTTGGGACTGTGGGATTCACGAAACAGGAGGAGGGCTCTCAGTTCAGTCCAGGCTCCAACGCCTGGAAGGTCTGGAAGTCCCAGAGTCAGGTACCCCAGTTTCCCAGGCAGCCTGCCATGGTGAGTGTCCCAAAGCCCAGAGGAGAGGGAGACAGAGGTTCCCCACTCCCATTAGTTGGGAAGGAGGGGACACCCACAGAGCTTCCCCTCCTGGACACTGCACTTTCGCAGCCAACACAATGCCTGGCCCCGCCACGCCGAGAGGCCTCTGCGTGCTGTCAGGAGGAGCTCCCGGGGTGCAGAGGCTGAGCACTGCAATGGCCCAGGATGCCACCACCCATTCTCCACCCTCCCCAGCTCCCAAGGCTCACCGTACCGCACCGTTCAGGGCCCTAGAGCCATCTGTGGGCTACAGATGGGACTGGATCTCCCTTTCCCCCAGAGAGGCAGGGCACCCTGGGCTGGCAGGCATCCCCACCCTGACCAAGCCCCAGAACTGGACTCTGCCCCTGCTGCATACTTGAGGCTCCTGGAGCAGAAGGACTGTGTCTTCCCCAAGCCTCTGGGTTCCCTGAGGGTAGCAGGGGTGCCTCCTCAGCGCTCTCTATGTTCGTGAAGGACTGTGCCTCTTCCATCAGACTGGTGTGCAGGGTCTATGCCTTCCCTTCTTATTAGAGGTTCACGGAAGGGGAAACTGCCTCCCTCCCAGATTGGGGGTGGGGGGCGCCATGAAGATGCTGTGCCTCCTCCCTCAGACCGCATGGGTTTCTAAGAGCAGGAGCTATGCCTCCTCCCTCAAGACTGCTGGGTCTAAGCACTGGCGCTGGGCCTCCCTCCGAAGACTGGGAGCCCCCTGAGGTCTGCCTCCTTTGACCCTGACCTCCCTCCAGGAGCCAGCTGCTTTTCCGCTGGGATAGCCCCACGGAAGAGTCCCCAGGGATCCTGACCTTGGCCCGGGGGCACCGACTGGGTGTAGGTGGTGGTCTTCTTGAGCGTGTACTGGCGCCCGCAGGCCTCGTCCTCCTCCATGAGGCCCTTGCTGCTGACCGAGGGCACACAGGTGTTGGCCCCCGAGTGGATGCCAGAGTCATAGGTGTATGTCTGCTGCCATTCGGTCACCTTGATGGGCTGTTCAATCAGGTTCATCACCTCCATGGTGGCTGCTAGGGACACAGAAGAGGGGCAGGATATTAGCTGACCCGGTGGGACATCCCATCACTTGGCACGGCCCCCATTTCCAGCCTCTCCCCAGGCCCTGCCCGTCACCCCTTTCCCCAACCATGGCCCCAAGGGCCCCAGTGGGCTGTGGAGGAGGGTGGGAGGCAGAAGGGACCAACCCAGGGAGGACTGCCCAGGGTGAGACACCCAGTGTGAGTCCTGGCCTTGTATCTCTGACCTCCAGCCCAGGGTGGGATGAATCCCGGGGAAAGGTGCCTTAAAGGGCCAGATGTCCCAACCCAACCCTGGGTTTATTGCAGTGAAAAGGACCAAAGAAGAATGAGTTTTTCTTTTCTTTCTTCAGAACAAAGAACATAAAGAGAAGAGTGAGCAGGCCAGATTACCCCTAGTTTTCACTTTAACTGTTCCTAATCAGGGAAGGACAGGGAAGCCTGAGGTGCTGCAGTCCATGGGGTCACAAAGAGTCAGACACGACTTAGCAACTGAACAACAAACCTGTAGTCTAAGTTTGCTTTTCTGCCCCCTAACTCCACTTAAGCTATATTTTGTGCCTATCATCCTTTGATTTTATGCTAATTACCTCCTGTATCTGGTGCTCACCTTCCCGGCACTCTCTTCACAGACCACCCCTGGTAGTTTTCTCTCTTTTTGCATTACAGAAAGAAGGCCACACTACAATACACAACAGACAATGGACTCAACCCCTGGGCTTTGGGACTGGGACTGCCAGACCCAATTACCAGGCTACCTGATGCCAGCCTAAGACTGCTTTTGAAACAATGCAAGAAGAGGATACAAAATCCTTATATGTTTGTTTCTCATCACCTACCCCTGACTGCGAGCCTTCATTTTATATAACCCTTCAGATTTTATGGAAGGGGGGGAAACAGTTCTTGAGGCACAAACCTACTGTGTTCTCCCCCTCTGCCGGCTGAGGATTAAAGTTTCCTTTCTATTTCCTCTAAGCTCTATCTCTGTATTTTTTAATTCAACTTCGATGGGCAGAGAAAGCCAAGATTTTGGCGGTAACGGGCTTGCTCACCTTGTGGCCCACAGCCCCAAACCCGCAGGGCAAGAGACGTCACGCTGAGCCTCCAGCAACTTCTAGGGTCCACTGGGGCTCCTGGGAAGGGCTGCAAGGTGAGGCAGCTACACCTCAGGCACTGGGTGGGAAACTGGGAAAGCGGGTGGGGCAGGGAAGCAGTCAGACAGGTTTCTCTGAGCCTCAGAGACTCCAGAATCTTCTGCACATGGGGCAGGATCATGAGTGATCCCAGAGGCTCAGGCCTTAGGAACCCCATCTCTCCAGCACCCCAGCTCCTAGAAGCCTTCCCCAGAATTCTGAGTCCCACCGACCAGTTCAGACCTCAGCCACATACTCCTGGGCCATTTGCCACTCAGCTGCACCCCCATCCTCATCTGTAAAATGGGGCAGCACCACCTCCCACCACCAGCCCAGCTGCCCACCTGGCCACACAGTAGGTGCTCAATGTGGGTGGCCATGGCCGGGTATCACTACTCCCCCAGGGTGTGTTCTCTCTGCAGGGTGAGGCAGGCCTCAAGGTAGTCACTGCTACTATTCAGAGACGTGGGGGCACTTGGGGGTCATGAATAGCTGGGCGTGACTCTGCACCGGGGAGGTGACCCCTACTTGGCCTGTCCAGCTCCCTTGTCTCGGGCACTGACCTCCAGAGTCCAACAGCGAGGAAGCGGGACCAGAGAAGCTGTATCCCGGTGAGGGCCTACCTGGTGCCTTCCAAGACCGCCAACATCCTCACAAGTGGGTTTCAAAGCACATGCTCTGCTTCCCAATTGACAGATGGGGAAACTGAGGCTCCACCGGGTGAGGGGACACAGCAGAGAAATGACAGCCGGGACCAGGCTTGGGCGTGAGCGACACCCGTCTGCGGTCTGTGCACACCCAGCATGGCTTCAGATTGCAAGTAGACCCCAGGCTGGCCCACCCAGAGGGGAGGCAGCACCCAGCACCTCAAACCCATCGTCCCATTGCGTTGGAGACCATTTAGGGATGAGGCTGCAGTGGCTGGTGAGCCTGGGCCCTCGCCGGGAACAAAGGTCACCATAGATATGTCTTCCCGGACAGGCCCAGCGCCACCTCCCAGGAGGATGCCAGTCCTTCAAGTCTCCCTGCCTTTCACGGTGACCCCTCCCCTCCTCTGCCTGTCAGCACACCTGTAACAGGTCCACTCCCTGGAGCCTCTTCCCTGTCCTCCCATCACCCCAAGTGACTCAGAGTTTCGGGCTGATAAACAGAAGCAGGCTTGGCGCCACCAGATGTGCCCAGCTGCTCTCCAGGCCGATGCAGCTATTTCAGGGGGAGTCCTCCCCCTCACCCTTGCCCTAAGCACACGCTGCCCGCCCAGCACTCCTGCCTTCCCTGGAGAGACAAGACAGAGAACACAGGAGAGTTTGGGAGGAGAAAGCCTGTCTCCGAGCAGCCCCCAGGGAGAAAATTCAGGCAGGAAGCCTTGGACATCCGAGCCCGGAGAAGGAAGATGAAACTGCGTCAGTAAAGACAGCTGCATTAACCCTGCAAAGGCCACTTTGCTGGGTAGACAGCTGAGCTGCCATCTGGCCTCCGAGCCTCAGCCAGATTTGCTGAGGACAAACTGGACATCTCCCTGTGGCTGATTCATGTTGATGTAGGGCAGAAAGCAATACAATATTATAAAGCAATTATCCTCCAATGAAAAAAAAAAACTAAAACTAAAAAAAAAATGTCAAACCAGCACTCAGAGGCAGAAGGAAAGCCCTGCTGGGGCTGGGTTCCAGGCCTGCCTGCCATGCTTGCTGAATGTTACCAAATGATCTTTCTACATCTCTTGAGATGACTGTATAATTTTTCTTGTTTATTCTATAGTGAGTTATTAAAAAAACAAAACTGGGTATCTCCAGCCCTATCAGTAAAAACAGCCCATCTGAGCCAGAAAATGCTGCTCCCCAGTGAAGACCATCACCTACCCCCGGTGCTTTCAAGCCAAGTGAGAGATGCGGGCCTTGGCCGGAACCTAAGGAACAATCCACTCACTGGCCCCAGGTCCAAAGGGACCCTTGAGGTCAAGGCTAGCCATAAGAGAGGTGTTTCCTAGCAGGCCCCTCAGCAACCCCCACCAGCCCAAGCCTTGAGCTAAGAAAAGCTGAGGGCTGGACAACTGCCCAGGGTGAGACAGAGGCCTCACGGAGGTCAAAGGATCCACCATAGTGGAAGGATGGAGGCGGGAGAGTGTGTCTTAATTAGCAAATGAATCTCATGCTTCCTAGAAGCAACCCTGGTCAGCATTTGATTATTCCAGTTTCCAAATGAGGAAACAAGCGCCATGCTGAAAAATAGCGGTGCTCTGCTCAAATCTAGGTCTGTCTCACTGCCAACCAGCCTCCTCCCCTGGCTCCTAATAGGGCACCTGGGGGAAGAGGGGACACCCTGGGGTCAGGGAAAGAATGCCAGACACCTGCAGAGAGACCAGAGGCAGGGAGCTGAAGGGAGCACAGGTGGAGCCAAGCGTTGGCTGCTCAGAAGTCAGGAGTCACAGGTTCTAGTCCCAGCTCTGCTGGCTACTGCTGTGTGTCCTTGGGCAACAGCTTTCCGTCTCTGTGCTTCATCCACAGAAAGGGTGACCCAGGTGATCTCAGAGGGACGTTGATATCTAAGATTCTAGGGATAAAAAGTCAGAATTCCCATGACAGTCAAGAAAAGGCTGAGGGTGAGGGTGGGCAAGGTCAGAGGTAGAAAGCAGCTCAGAGAAGACACACCAGAACTCTTCGTGAAGAAAGGATGGTGGAGGGAGCTACTCTCAGCACAGGAAAGATCTAAGTAAGACCTCAGGCAGCACTGTCAAGCAACCCCACCTCTTCTCACCTACTCCTCAGGAGAACCAGGGGAATTCTCTCACAAGAAACCAACGTGCTGGTTTTGCAGTTCCCAGGGTGGAGGAGGCCGCACACAGTTTGGTCTCACCCCTCTCTGCCCTGGACCTGGAGACCCACCACAATGCCCCTGGTCAGAGCCAGGGTGGAAGGAGGCGAGACAGACGTGGGCCCTGCCCAAGCACCCTGGCCGGAGACAGGCAGAGCCAGACACAGGGCGGGGCTCTGAACTGAATGGGGGCGCTTTGTTTAGCAGTGGTTCTATTGTTGGCGACACAGGAGGAAGAAGCCAGCTCAGAGATCACAGGATGGGATAGGGACCTCGCAAGGGAAAGGAAGAGAGAAGAAGAGGGGCTCTGGAGAGGGGGTGCAAAGGGCCCTTTCCCCACTGGACCACACTGGCCAGGAATCTGCAAGCAAGCAATAAGGCTGCTTTGGGGCGCAATCTGCCCTCCACTCCTGCTTCCTCCTCTGCATGGCCAACCCAGTGGGCTGTCACTCGGCACTCTAAATCCAAGACTGTCCTGGCAGAGTGCAGCCCAGCTCTGAAATAAAAAATAACTCCCAGGACTTCCCCAGGAGTTAGCACTCTGTGCTTCCACTGCAGGGGACACAGGTTCGATCCCTGATTAGGGAACTAGATCCCATGTGCAGTGCAGCATGGCCAAAAATATTAAAAAGTTAAAAATACATAAAAAACTCCCACCAAAAAAAAAAAAAAAAACCCACCAGAGCTACAGGCTCCTTCCCCAGCCAGCTGGGCTGGGCTGTATGACACCAAGTTTCAATCAGACATCTGGAAATCAGAACAGCAATTGGTTGCCCAAGAGGTGTGCTGGGACCTGGCTCAGAAACGTTGCAGTAGAGCAGGCAGGGCTTCCAGAAGGTCCTTGGGCCAGAGGTCAGCACCCTGTGCAGATGCAGATCACGGGCTCAGGCAGAGGAAGGGGACTGAGGACAGGGTGGAGTCAGGGGAGAGCTCCATCCAGCCCCACCTCACACTGGCCATGTGCCCTTGGGCAAGTCATGTGATTTCCTGAAGCCTCATATCCTCCTCTGTAGAGTAGAGACAGGGACATCCCTGATAGTCC